AAACGATGGTCACCTCATGCAGTTACATCTAACTCGATGATGTACAGATATTTTCATCTTTTAGAAAGGTTTGTGCTCCTAGGACCCGGAGACTTATTATTTTTACTACATTGTTCAATTAGATAAGATCACTCCCAAAGCTGTGTGAAAACGTTGTATTGAGATGACCTTCCATGATCTTCAAATGATGTTAAACTTAAAAATTAGGTGGCTTCGGGGGTCTTTTTAGGAATTGAATCTTTCTTCACCACGGTATTGTTTTGTGGGGGAGGGAATTTTCAAAGAAACACACACGCTCTGCTTTAACTAATCAGCCTATGTGGAGGGCTACAAGAAAGATCATAAACTTGGTGTCCTTTCACAAAACCAGACAACAAGGTCGGCACTGCTTTGCTGTAGCAGCAATTAGTGACGTTTTGCATGGAAATACTTATAACATTATGTTGAACTGTGGATTCAATAGTCAGGACAGTGGTTTTTGTTTTTTTGAACAACAGCTAAAAATATTACCTACTCCAGAAAATTCATTACATTAAAGTTTTCTTAATATGTAAGTGTCATCAATCTAGTTACAAAAACTCAACTCAGATCACTTTATGTAATAAGCTATGCCTCTTCCTGGACCCAACCCTATGAATAAAGCTGATTTTTTTTCATTAAGTGTACAGTAGACTTGAAAGAGTTTGCCAGATGGGGAAGTAATGTTCAATCAAAAGCTTTCAAGGGAAGTTGGCCCCCCACAGTGTTCTCAGAACTTGCAAAGCAGGTAGGACACAAAGTAGAGAAGGGACTTTGCTAGTTAATACGCAGCACTTCAATGTGAGGCAGTTATTCTGGTTTCCAGGAAGTAAAACAGGAAATTAGGTGTAGAATAGCAAAGGTATTTAAAATAGCGGGGTTTTGGAGCTGGACCTGCAACTGCAATTTAAACACAGTCCACACTGCCTCACACGCAGAAGGTGGGCAGAAAGACAGCGAGGGACGCGGTGGCACATGCCACTCCGGAGGCTTAGCTACTCACCACCTTTCTTTTTATCCTTTACTACTTTGGTGTGTAATGCTGTCAATTGAACAGACTCTAGATTCAACTGGAAGATGGGCCTCTGGACACGATTGTGGGGACTACCTTTGAAACGTTCGTATGTATATTCATGTTGGCTCGCATGTAGGCTTGTGCACCGTGTGTGCAGCGGTCACAGAGACCAGAGGAGGGTGTCACATGCCCTGGAACTGCAGTCATAGTTGTGCTGATTGTGAGCTGCTTTGTGGTGTTGAGAATTTAACCTGTGTCTTTTTCAAGAGCAGGAGGTTCTTTTAACTATTAAACAAGGTAGACTCTGTGGGGGATCATCTTGATTAGGGTTATTGAGAGACCTACCAGGAGTAACTGGCACCAATTTCTGACTGATATACTGGACTATACAGATGGAGAAAAGGAAACGACTTTTGTTTGAGTATTTTGTCATAGAAAGAGGAAAAGGAACTGAGACAATTACCCTTACTTCACATCTCACCCAGAAAATAGTCTTCGCTGAGAATATTTGTTGCCCGATGACCCAGATGATCAGTTCAAGCTCAGACATTCTATGCGTTTAATTCCAATAGAAGCTCTTCTTCCGACAGAGTGAGTGAACAGACATTTGCCTGTTTGCTTTCCTGTTTCTCTTCTTTGTGTCTGAAATGGAACTGTCTGCTAGAGAAGATGGAGCAGCCAGCCCGTGAAGGTAAGACTGACAACCTCAAGCCAAGCATGGCAGACCACAAAGATCAAGAAACCCAGTTCCTACTGGAGCAATCAGATTAATTTCAAGTTGTCCCTATTTGTCCATCTTTGTAATACTATTTTTTTTTCACATGAGAAAGGGAAGCTGCTAGGTAAACCACCAGTTTTGTAGCATGTTATCAGATTCAGCCCTTGCAAACAGCTTTGCATACGTACAAGGCATGCAGAGTTTACAGATCATACTGTGTTTCTTCAGGCTTGAACCACGAGTTCACACAAAGGTCTATGCAATATTCACTTGCTTTGTGGTGTGAGCCACCTCCACCACACCACAGCACCTAGACTCCCAAGGACCTGCATGCACAACTGTAGTTCTGGCATGTTTCAGAAATTATACTTCAACATTGACAGGGCAAAATATAACTTGCTACCCAAATCTGATCTATGACCTACTTTATGATTTTTTAAATTATTTTTCCTATAAATGTTTTTCATAGGGAAATCTGGCAGATAGTTTATAAAACAAACAAGCAAGCATTAAAAAGAATAATATACAGCTGGAGGCCCAGGAAGCCTCTGAAATGTAAACAGCAACTATTGGAGTCCTTCACATAAAAGCCTACACAAGAACAAAGCAAGGTCAATGCACAAATTGTCACAGCTATCCAGGTTGCAAAGTCTACATTCACAAAGCCATTTTATACTCTACTCCTTTGGTCACTAAAATGGCATTATAAACAAAATATAGTCTATAATCAAAGAACTCTTTAAGTGATTTTCTGAGTGTTAATAAAGCAGTAGAAATGAAAGACAAGTAGCACAGTTACTACTTTCCTGGCTGAAAAAAGAAATGAAGTTATTTATAATAACTTCAGGTCTCAAGAAAGTATCACCCACCAGCTGGAGTTGATTGTTGGAAAGAAAGAATCAGTAAGCATTGTACAGTATAACCCTGGAAGAATTAAGATTTGAATATCTCTGAAGAATGTGCCTTTCAGGACAATTTCCTTGCCACAGATGGTGCCATGCTTGTATTTCACAATGGAACTTTTCCCTGTTTACATTCCTTCAGGCTGCATACTACAACTAACAACAGTGAATTGAAAGTAATAAATATAAAGATGGACATTCTCCTGATTTCCTATTCTCCTCATAGGAACCAAAGGTGGCTCTAATCATTGTTTAGATCCTTGAAGATACATTTCCAATTACAAACAGGAAGAATTTCATTTCCACAGGGAAGAATTTATTCTCATAACCAACAAAAAAGTTCAAATTATTTTAATTTCCCAAATAATATTCAAGTACTTTCAAAATTAAGTTCTGCAAGTGGCAAATTAAACTCACACAAGCTTCCTGAGTTGGCAACCGGTAGTGAAATTTAACTCCTGTGGGATGCATATGAGAAAATATTCCCAAAGAAACCAAAGAGGAGGAAATCATGGGTTCCCGTAAATTCCCTTTATATCTTAATTTCATTTAAATTTATTTTCATACCCTGTACATTTTTTCAAAATTATGTCAATTATTGGAGGTTGTGGGCCAATCCCTTCTTCTTTGTCATCTCCAACAACATGTGACTGTTGTTCGGAGTTTTTACTTCATGGATTCAATATTTCATGACAAATTCCCACACATTCTTCTTATTGTAACTACTAAGTAGATTTAGGGGAAAATATATTGTATCATGTGGCTTCATTTAAATTTATGAAACAACCTCTTTATTATCAAATCAAAGATAATATCATGTTCTATTTATATACATAGGAAAATTATAATTCCTAAGGATCAATCTTCACATTTTTCCATCCTAGGAGTTGATCTAGCATATCAAATGTTCACATTCATGTAATTGTAGTATTGTAAAATTATTTTATGAAGTTCAGGGATAACTAAGAATAACTTCACAAAACACACTGTGAGATACTGTATTAATTGTGAAGGTATACATTAAGAAATTCAAATTGGAAATGTCTACATGGGGGTCATTCAATGAATAGTGTTATATTCTTTGTGACTAGAGTCTTCCCATTTGTGTAATGTTTTTAAGGTTCTTCTATGTTGTATCATGGGTGAGTAATTTATTCTTTCCTATTGACAAATAATTTATTTGTAGTCATTAATGATACTTTTAAATTCATTGTAACATTCTTATTTTCTTATCTTAAATCTATCACACCAAGAAACTGCTCTATATTTCACAATGATCCTAGTGGAAAATTTTATAATTATATGTAAAAGTGGAAAAATAGAAATTTATGATATAGCTATAACCTCTTCTGTGACTGATGGGTTTAAAGTGGAGATGAGATACTTGAATACACACATTCATGTTTATCCATGCTGAAAAACTTTAATAGGGATTGCAAATGTAAAGAATTTTAATAAGCACTGATTTTGTTTTTAATGGCATGATTTTAATAACTAATACATTAGTTCTATTTGCAAATGGGTAAGTGCATAGACAAAACCATAAAGGAGAACCAATAAAGGTCATGATCCCATTATAAATCAGCAACATTCATTTTTTTTCCCTCACATTGACTTTACAGAATTGCATGATTTTCTAGGGATAATATTGATATGCTGGTGTGTCTGGTCACAGGATACCCATAGACTGATGCTGCAAGTTCTAGAAATATTGATATCAAGATTACTCTCTGGTTCCCACACTGAAGAACAAGTGAGCATTCATAAAACTGTGGGTCATTCAGCTATGCTCACATCATTATTCATAATTTTGTTACAGAAATATGTCCAGTGTGACAAAATTCTCAGGAGATTTCTTAACAAATGTTTCAAGTGGGATTAGAACTCACATACACAATGGCACCTGAATCTTAACTTATAAAGGGTAAGACCCTCATGATACAGTTTGTGACTTCTGGGTCTAAAGAAATTACATTTAGTAATCTGTAGAGTTGCAAAAGTTAATATAAATGATGTGAAAGTTAGAGGTTTATTCTCTTCACGATCCTTCTACACACACTTCCATCTCAAGTCCTGTGAGTCAAACTGGAAGAACGCTCCTGTGCTGCCATGCTGTATTTCTGTTTCTCGACAAGTTTGCTATTATCAGCACAGTTACAGTAAGTAACTCCCCCCATTCACGTACTCATTTTGAAGAAGAAACAGAAACAAAAGATTCCACAACTTTCAGGTTACATTTAAAAAGAAAGAAAAGTAGAATCAATTAGAACAGCAGTGATCCATGAAAGCAACTGATATTTGGTTTTACAGGGAGATAAATCCAAAATCAAAGAGCCTTTCTACTCACAGGTGACTAAAGACTCATCCGACTCATCAGGGCAGTCAGGGTCCCCATCACACAGCCAACTCTGGGAGACACAAGTCACATGGTCGTGGCAAAGAAATTCACCAGGATCACACGACTGCTGATCTGCAAAGGAAAATATTTGAAATCAAGAATGAATAATCAGAACATGAACAGGAGAGCTTACAGAGGGATATTTGAGGGTGCACTGCATTAACCGCATTGCCATGAGTCACATTGTTTAGGAGCAAAGCTACAGCAAGTATTTCCTTAAAATTTAGTTGTTCAGCACAAGAATATAACTTTCACAGGCTTGACTCTGTTGTAGATTCACACAGTCTGTTCCAAAAATAAAGGATTCTGTTTGTGTTTGTGACTGCAGGCTTCATCACGTCAAATATGGCATACAAATGTTACAGCCAGGGAGGTGAGTAGGCCATGTTGCATCAAAGCAGCAGCTAATGACTGGAATTTCATCTTCATCACAGCTCCAAACAGGGAAAATCTTGATAGTAATTTAGTATTGAAACTAAATATCCTTCTTCTTAATGATCTATTCTGATATGATGATTCTATGAACTTCCTCCATGTTTATTTTGACATGGGTTCTAGAATTGTTTGTACATGCAAAATATGCTACCATCCTTTTAATATTTTTTGATATTGGTGATTGTCATCCCCTAAAGTAAATTCAGTGAGTATTGATTTTTATGATATATCTACACCTAACTTACAGTTCTACCTGAAAAGTAATACCTTTTTTAACATGCATGAATTAGGAATGTTTCCTGGAATTGATGGCTACTGGCTGTGATTGTTAAAATAATAGCCAATTTATGTCATTATCATTTGTACTTTTGTCACTTAGCATTGTACAACATACAGATGCATCTTAAACTCAGTGTTGTCTTAGAGTTAATAACAATGCTGTTTCTTTCTTTATCTCAATTTTTCTTTTCTTCCTTCTCCAAAGTATAACTATCAGTAAATTTTTTACAAACAGATATAAGCAACCATTTTCAATGTACAAATGGTAGTAAATTGTAACTTTTTCCTTTCTCACACAGTAGTGTCTGAAAAGTAGGATGATACACTGTCATGTTTTCCCAATTCATTAATAGCACCTACACCAATATCATCATTTGTTTTAGGATTGATTTACCTGAAAACATCATATTTAGCCATAGGTTTCTGCTACAGACTCAAAGATAAAACATCCATTCTTGTTTTCTAAAAGGATCTGATAGTGTACTTATGTACTCATAGTTTCTAAAATTGATGAATTAGAACACTACAAAAGAAGAAACAAGTGCAAAGCTATTTGGGAGCTAGCAGCATACAACTTATGTGTAGAAAACTAACTGTCTTAGCTGCAGTGAAACATTATAACCAAAAAGGCAACTTGGAAAGGAAAAGGTTTATTTGGCTTCTACTTCTGCATTGTGTTCTATCATTAAAAGAAGCCAAGAAGCAATCTAACAGCAAAGCAACTTGGAGGCCATCAAGGAATTCTGCTTAGTAGCTTGCTCCTTCAACTTGCTTTCTCATAGAACCTAGGACCACCATCACTGGGATGGACCTACCCATAATGGGCAGGTCCTATCCTGGTCAGTCACTAATTATGGAATTGCCCTAGAGGTTTGAGTATAGCCCAATCTTACAGCAGTATTTTTTTAAGTTGAGGTTCCCACCTCTCAGATGACTTTAACTTGTGTCAAGTTGACATGAGAGTAGCCACCACAGAAATCTAATGTCTATAGGGCCATGTGATGCTCTCCCAGCACCATACTCCACAAACATACATACAGGTAGACAGACAGACAGGCAGGCAGGCAGGCAGTTCTCCCCAACAGACACACACACACACACACACACATACACACACACACACACACACACACACACACACACACACGCATTCTTCTGAATAACAGACAAGGTGTTAAAGATGACAGTCTAAGGAAAGTTAGTCAATGAAACAAAGGAACAATGTGGTCAGGGAGATAAAAGGAAAGATAAAATAAAAAGAAACAAAGTGCAATAATAAAGTATCATGGACGACAAATGAAGCCTGTGCATTTTATGTAAAGCAACAACAAAAAACTATGTGAGCCTAGTGGAAAGGCTGTAACAGACTGGCGGGAATTAACCTGGATTTTCTAACGAATCTCTGACTGCTGGTGTGAAAATGAACTGTGCAAAGTGAGAGCAGATAATGCAAGATCAGTGAGGTGGTTCAATGGATATGTATACTGATGGAAGAGAACATAAACACTATATGCTATGAAGAAATGGAAATAAAGCACCATGTCCACAGTCTCACTGAATGTCAGACTCTTGATCAAAATGATGAATCAATAATGTTAGACGTTTCAATCACTTTAAAAATATTCGCATAGTCTGCTATACTTGGGCAAGATCCAAGGAGGCATATATATATATATATATATATATATATATATAATTTCATGGCAAAATATTTAAGTCTAAATTTTAGAAGTATGAGCAAAACTTGCACCCAATTAAGCTGTGACTGTAGAAAGATATAGCTACAGGAGGCAGTGTCTGTGAAGGAGAAGTAAGGATGGATGCTAGAGTGACAAGGAAGACTTAGACTTTCCACCAAAATAACTGAGATTCAAGAAGGGATAAAGCACAGAAACACAAAATCTTCCTGTGGCATCCGCAAGAATGCTGGTGGGGACGTGCACACTGCATGTACAGGGAGCACACACACAGTTGACTTAATGTAAGATAAAAGCTTTATTTTGATGCAATTTGGGGAACAGTTTTATATCTTTAGGAAATGACACTTAAAATTTACTATAGCCCATCTGTTTACTTTTTGTTCACATATTTCAAATAGAGTTGTAGAAGAATTGAACGTAACCTTAAGATTCTTTTCAGTATTTTGAGGTGTTTATTTCAAATATGACTTCTGATTTCAGTTCTGTTAATCACACCGTACCATATAGACGGGTGCCTTCCACTCAACCCGTTTAATGCTTCTACGCATGCTTGTGAGATATTCAGGCAGATCTTTGCAAAATAACCTCTCTATTGTAGAAAACACAGAGTCTTTCATTGTATTTAAAACAAGAGGCTTATGTGGATGTGAGGGCTGCTCACTTACATCCCTAAGGGGAAGGAAGGCAGACAGCACATGTGCAACTCTTCAGAACAGGTCTGCATCAAAATGTGGAGACAGAAGGAAGGCTGTCTCAGAGCTCATGGAATGTAAACTCACTGTGTTCTTAGTAAGAACTTAGTATGATCATGTTTGTACTAATTTGAAAACATGCCATTTAAAAATTTTATTGTAATTTTTATTTTTTAAAAACTGAAGTAGAGGAGAGAAATATTATACATTAATTGACATAATAGTTAACTCTAATTTCTTATCAGATGAACTCATAATATAGATCCTTTTTTAAAATGGAAACTGTCTGTTCAAACACCAAAACTATTATCTATCAATTCAATGAGGATTTTTTTATTATCCTTTATCCTTGTCTAGATTCACCATATCAATTTGCAATAATCTTGTGTCATTGCCATTATAATTGATGTGTTACACTACTGATAAGGCTATTCTTAGCAAGGTAGTATAGAGAAATTTAGGGACAATATGGGTTGCAAATTCTGATAGTAAATATTATAATCGAAGGCATGGAAGGGAATACACACACACATACATACATACATACAACAGCTAATGACGCAGGGACACAGGAAAGTATACTTTAAAAGGGGTCACCAACAGAAACAACCTCAGAACAACAAAGTGTCAGGCAGGCTCTATAATCCTTAAGTATTTAGTTAAAATCAATTGACTCTCTTTATACCTCACTGGCAACTTAAATATGGGATGGTTAACACCATTCAGTCAAAAACACACATTCATCATTTCTAAAATAAAACATGTTTTTATGACCCTTGTCTCTTATTGCTGAGGGATTATCAGAAGAGAACTCATAGGAAGTCGTAAAAGCATTACTAATTCATACTTTACTTGCTTACGTAAAGTTAAAGGAATAATTCTATTTTTGAGTTTTCAGAAGTACCTAAATCCCTTTTCATATGCCAGAAATATACACATATATGGATAAAGAACAAATTCCCCAAAAGAACATTACATTTCAAGTAGTTAATGTGCTTAGAGGGCTTCATCCTATTTTATGTTTTCAATTGTATTTTTAAATTATTTTTATGTATATGTGATTATAAGCATACATCAATATATGTGCATTACATGCATGGAGGAGGCCTTGAAAGGAAGAAGAGGGCATTGGATTCATCTGGAACTATATTTACAGGCAACCATGGGCTTCCATGTTTGTGATTTGGAACTGAAACATGGTCCTCTACAAAAGCCTTAAAAGCTAGCTCTCCAGTCCCTTGGAGCTTCTTTCTTGATAATTTCTTATAATGTTATTTGACCATTAAGTCATTAGTTGGCAGTGGTGGTATTTCAAATAGTCCTCACTTGGCCTCAAAGTCCCTAGGTAACCAAGATGGTTTTCTATATTAAATATAGTGGTTTACTAATGTGCAATGCTTACCCAGTGAGCATGCTTTGTGACCTGGAAAGCAGACTCAAATCTTAAAAGACTATTTGAAGACCAGAAAGGCAGCTCAGCCAATAAATGAACTTGACACCAAGCTGGAAGCCCTGAGTTCTATCCCAGGGCCAATATGGCAGTACCTTTTCCTTGCTTCATCTTTATAAAAAGGGATCTCATCGTATACCTTAGTTGAACTTGAACTTTCTAGAAATATCATCTTGTTTCAGACTTGTGGCAGTCTTACCTCTGTGTCTTTACACTTCTCTTATGGAAGCATCTTTTGTTCCCACTGTCCATAGTTATGCAACACTTAAATGCAAACATCCAATGCTCTAGTTTCACTTACTATCTATCTTGAAACTCTCCGGTAATGAGCTCCTGAACAGATAGCTGCATCGACTCTGTGTTGGTACTCCTAAGAAGATGCCAAGGGATTCTCTGCTCTCCCAGGTTCACTCAGCATTATTGACAATACCCAAGGAAGAGGACAACCTAAGTTCATCCTAATAGTAAAGGCAACAATTATATGTACATTCAATGTAATTCTTTTTATTCGTAATA